CATTTTCGCTAACATCCACGAATGATTGTCCTTTACATGGATATTTATGGTCCTGTCGGGTCCGCATCAGTCCGTCCGTCCGTTCTTTTTCGGGCGGGGCGGGTCCGTCCGTCCGTCCGCTTTTGAGACCCTACCAAAACAGACTTGTCGCCGACCATGGTCCGTTGGTCCGGTCCGGTCCGATTTTTAGGGACAACAGGTACATGACATTTCAGTGGTTACAGTTTATACCAATCCTCTCCCTTTAAAACAAATAGCTAGCTGTGGTTTAGACAGTATTAGTGTTGTATTTCATAATGGTGGACTAGAGGAGGGTAACTATCAGTTTGATGTGGAGTCCATTGTTGGTGTTGCTGAGGATGTTACTAGTATACTGGACATTGCCTGCTACTATCAGGGGGAGGAGTATATGGTTGCTGTGGCAACCGATCATCACACTCCTCTCCTACAGTTATTGCTCTGGTAATGTCAATGATGATCCTTTTGCTAAGGTAAGGAGAAGGTCTTCATATCTAATAATGTGGTAGTACGTATCATATACTGTCAGTGCTTATTATTGGAAATTGTATGATTACAACATAGAGCTCTTGCATGGATGTAATTAATCAATGGGGTGTGGCTAAATTTGCTGGCATCTTGGTGGTAAGAATATACATGTACATGGTGTAATGGAGAAAATGGAAAACAAAAATCTGAATAATTCTGCAGTTGACATTCCAGGCTAAAGAAAGGTAGGAGATGAAGGTATAGAGTGAAGAACTCTCTATAATATTCTACCATGCCACTTCTACAGCCAAGTATGATTATCTCTTTGATAAAAAATCCCAGTTTATTTCAATACCTTCATTTGTTGCATGTACATTCTTTCCACCCAACATGGTCACAAATTTAGCTGCATCTCACCGTTAATTACATCCGTGCAAGAGCTCTATTCACAATCACCAAAATAAAACTTTACCATTTTTTCCTGCTATATGATAACTAAAATTAAAATTCAAAGCATTATTCTACATTATTATTTTCATTGTTCATATATATTTTGTATAGAGTCAGTTCAAGGCAATATTGGTTAGGTTTGCCAGTCAAACCAATACCATTGATGTGAGCAGCGACTCTTCAAGACTAGCAGCTGGTGCAAGGTAATGTACCTGTTCTCTCAATATCGCATTATAGTAGCTTCATAATGAATTTTTATCAAAATGATATTTTTTATTATAATTTGAACAGCATGTGAAGAAAAATGCCCAGACAATTAAATTGGATGATATTTTTGTATTGGTATCGGCCAGTATTGGCTATGTTAATATCGGTCATCGGAATATTGGTGCATCTCTATATGTACATGTGTACCTCATCCAATGTTTTGGTAATAATAATTATTATTTTACATGTACACATACAATAATAATAATGAAAGTGATGATAATGATAATTGTGTATACATTATACTAGGCTTCGTCAAGTTGTGATTATACAGTTAAGATATGGTCAACAGAGAGTAAGGTATGTATATGTACACTATGTATGTTTTATGCTATCTGTATTACTTATTATGTAATTTTATTGTGATTAAAAAAGGCATTTACCATATAGCTGGAAAATTTGGCGGTCTAAAACTTTGGCCGTTTTGCATCAAAATTGCCTAAATATAATATTGGCGGTTTACTATCTTGCCTTTTCTTTAAGCACTCTCAGCTCTTCTTGAAGCTGCTCCTTGGCAGTCCTTGCCCACAGTCTTGACTGAAATAGTGAGAAATACTGCCATTTTGGCATTTTTAGTATCATGTGCTCATGATGGAATCTGCCCATCATTGCAATTACTATATTGTCAGTTATAATATTGGTGGTTTTATTTTGAACTGCCAATCTGCCAAATTTAATTCTCCATCAACTTTTCCAGCTATACAGTATGTACATTCACATATATAAAGCTACATCTAGATGTGCATGTTACATATTAGTGTGATTGGTAAAGGGAAGGAGTTACATGTTCATCTTTTGTTATATTTATTATTTTTAAGGTTACTGTTAGTTCAGCTGATTATTATTATTTTTAAGGTTATTGTTCATTGGTCGATGTTTTTCCTAAAACCAACGATATTATATTTGCCTCAACACTTTGTTGGTTCTCATGGCAACCAGGCCAAGGACAGGTAAACAAACACAATCAAGCTACATGTACATGTACGTGATAATTAGGTTATTGCTGTGCCTGTTGGTAATGGTGTGAGACTGTTAAAGAGAGAGAGCTGGAACTGCATTCAAACAATCAATGCAAGATGGAAGGAATGAAAAGGTGAAAATAGCATTTTTACGTTTTATAACAATTGTTACAGATGCATGTTTCTTGATCATTATTATTACTGATACCATTATTATTGTTTAGTTGATCATGTGATGTGTTGGTCTCCATTTGGGACAATGTTTGCTGTGGGCAGTTCTGATGGACGTATCTCAATATATGGAGGATGGCCTCAACCTTTACTCATCTCAAGGTACATGTACATGTACAATGTATAATATAATATACAATAAGTTTCAAAGAACATGCATCTGGAATCAATTTTCACAATTTCTCACAATTCAGTCATCTTTTACCATTATTGTCATGGAATGTATTTAACATACATGTACACATCTCATGTACATCTATCCCTCTCTCTCTATTAAAGGCACGGTGTTGGGTCTCATGTTGTCTCCTCATTGTGTTGGGATCCAAAGACTAAAGACTCATTCCATCCTCTTCTCTTCTCCTCTTCATCTGGTCACATTGGGGCCTTACCCCACCACTGGGTCTATCCTCAGCGAGAGAAGGAGGGAGGGAAGGAGAGTATAGCTGGAACTAACAATACTGCACCAGCTAACACAGGAAAGGCTCCAGCAGCTGAACCTGATGATCCTTTGTTTGATGATAGTCTTTTATTAGAAGTAATCTCTATCATTTAGTCTGTCATTCATTTACATGTACATGTGTATGGAATTATGTTTGACATCACTGGCATGTACCAAATGTATAATATAGTACCTGCATGAATAATACACCTATTCCCACATGTACATGTGGTACATGTTATTGACTATTGTTATGGTGTTATTTTTTTGTGTACAAAAGTACATGTAAATAGAACAAGCTTTGGTCAAGTATGTAGATTGTGATGATCTCCTGTTTCCTTCTTTTATATGTACATTGTGAGTTCTAGTACCTAATTGTAGGATTTCACCTTTATTTTGACAATAATTATGTAGGTTTAACACTGACTAGGAGGGTTTAAAATTTTGTAATCTCGAATAGGAGGTGTTAAACTGATATAAACAATGAATGCTATTATATTTGTGCGGCCGCAATATGAACAATGATGCACCCACTGCCACGTGTCGCAATGTGTAGGCGCATTGCGACGGATTGCACATTTCATTGAACAGTAATGGCAGCTTGGAATACTCTTTAGTCAACAAGAAAGCTGAAGAATTGACTGGATGAAGCTATCATGAGTGAACTTTATGCTATTATGATCCTAGGATGGCTTTGACTGACGATGGAGCCAAACTCTGAGACTGCTGGATCATGACACTAGTGAAGATTGCTCTGCTGGGCTATCCACA